TTCGCTCTTGCTCAGGCTGGTTTCGAACTCCTGACCTTGAGTGATCTGCCTGCCTGGGCCTCCCAGAGTGCTAGGATTACAGGCGTGAGCCACAATGCCCAGCCTAAAACCCTTTATTTTTGATGCTAATTCTGTTCTTCCAGATCCCTTCCCAGTCACCCTGTTCGAGGCCTCTCCGTACCCTTCGATCCCACAGCCCACCTTCCCCCTTCACCCACGTCTCTGGGAGGGCCCCAAGAACTCCAGTATTGTTGCCATTGTTTTCCTGCCATTGTATGTGGAGGAACGTTTTGGTTCTCCTGTCAGCTTCCACAGTGAGACTCCTTAAGATGTACAGCAGCCTAAAGGTCCTTCCGGTTAACAGAGTCCACCCTTCTTGGAAGGCACCTGTTGAAGCGGAGAACAAAACACATATTTGGGTTATCCTGGTGATGGATGCTATGGAGGGGACGCTTTTAGCAGAGGGGCCTTGACCCAGTCTGTGGGTCAGGGGAGGCGACCTCACAGAACACAGCTGAGAGCTGAGGCCTGAACAGGAGCCGGCTGCGAAAGTTGGGGAATGGGGACGTTCTAGGCAAAGGCAAGATGAAGGGCAGAGATTCTGAAGGAAGAGGGGAGTGGAAAGAAAGCGTCTTGCCCAGCACTGTGGGACCTGTCAGTAATTCCAGACGTTCTCCTGCTCGGCTGTGCTCTATGTGGGGGGTGAGGGTGTGACCTGCTGCAGCGTGGAGCTGGCGCATGGGTGGGAGGGGACGGACATGGAGAGGGGAGACCTTGCGGGCTGTGGTAAGGGGCAGAGGGGCGGTGAGGCCCGGATCTAGGGGTGGCAATGAAGACGAGAAGAAGCCATGGGGTGTGGCACATATTCGGAAGGGACCTCATGATTGACTGGACAGGGGAGTGGTCAGGAGTTGCTTCTGGTTCTGGCCCGAGTGACCACGAGGTGACGGGAGGAGCAGTTCTGTTGCTGAGATTGTTTGGGGCGAAGCACGATTGTGGCTTTAGGTTCAGTCGGGTTGAACTGGAGATGCCTTCGGGTCATCGGACGTCTGGAAATGCCAAATGGACTGTTAGAAAGGTGTCCCTGGGACTCAGAAAAGGGCCAAGGAAGAGGAACCTCCAATGGAGCCGCAGGAGAGCCAGAGTAGTGGGAGGAAAACCAGGGAAGCTCGCTGTGGATGCCAAGGGACGGGAGCGCTTCAAGGAGACAGTGAGCAACTCCGGCAAGCGAGGTCACGCTAAGAGCTCAAGGAGGCGGAGGACGGGGCGCAGTGAGCTGCGGTTATTTTCAAAGGTGTGACAGGATCCAGATTCGAGTGGGCTGAGGAATGGACACAAGCGACGGGTAGTCACGTTTGGAATTCTCTCTCCCCCCAGAAGAGCCCATTGTCGTGCCTCAGACAAAGGAAAGCGTCTTGGGGAACCACTTGGCCACGCTTATCACGCTGAGCCACGTGGCACCCGCACCCTGAGAACTGGCCCAGAGACACCTGAGCGGGGTTGTTATGTTTTCAATCTAATCTCCTTTACAATAAAATCCAAGAAACTGAGAGAACCTTGACCTTTATCTGTAGCTTCGGTTTACTCTAAAGGGAAATCAGACAAAAAATTTACAAGAATAATTGAGGCCAGAGCAAATCAGACTCTGGCTGTGGCACAGTTATGCAAATACGTACACTGCTGCGGTCGAAGTCCTTAGAGGCAAACGCCAGATTTATTTCCTGCTGCCGGAGCAAGCGTTCTTTGGTCTGTAAGACTAGGATAAGAAAAGAAAGGAAAGGAAGGGAGGCCTTTGTTCACAGAGGTTACAGAGACAGACGTAAAAATCACAATCGAAAGATTGTCAGGAATGTTGTGCCACCCCACATAGCCCGCTTACCTGCCGATCCCTAACATAGCCTGTGAGTTGGCAATGGAGCTTTGTTCCTTTGAGGAGAGGGATTGTGACCCATTAAAAACAGGGCGCACCTTGAAAAACTAATGGCGGATACAAAGGTCCTTTGGGAGAAGATTAGCACTACCGGAACGGGAATGCATAGGGACGTAGGAAAGTACAAGTCTCACTTACTTCTTGAGCAGTGACAAAAATGAGATTTTTAAAGGCATGCTATGAGCATTGGACCTGTTTGGTCAAGAAGGTATTTCCTCAGAGCTGCTTGGTAAGGATGTTCAGGTTGTGCACTGCACACCTGAAGAGGCCCCGTTTATCACAGTTGAGGCCTCCTACAGAGGCCCTGAGGGCAGATGGAAATAAGTGTCTCTCGCTCCCTCCCAGGGGCCGGGCTGTTCAGAGCCCCGAAGAGACAGCCTAGCGCGTGACAAGTGCACAGCCACCCTCCTCCCGCGAATGAGGGGCTTTCTCAGAATAAAGGTTTTGTAAGCAGAGATCAAGACGGCCTTTTCTAAAGGTGGGGTACGCTCGTAAAATGTACGGCGCCACCCCTTCTCTGTGAGAAGGTGTAGGGGCAAGACAAGCAGTCTTGCACTGTGATTGAGATACAAACCCCACAGATGGGCACATTTGCACACTCATGCAGCCTGTGTGTGACTGTGTGGTGTGTGTGTGGTGTGTGTGTGTGTGGTGTGTGTGAGTGTGTGGTGGTGTTGTGATGTGTGTGTGAGTGTGTGTGTGTGACTGTGTGTGTGGTGTGTGTGAGTGTGTGTGAGTGGTGGTGGTGTGTGTGTGTGGTGTGTGTGTGGAGTGTGTTGGTGTGTGTGAGTGTGTGTGAGTGTGTGTGTGAGAGTGTGTGTGAGGTGAGGGTGTGTTGTGATGTGTGTGAGACTGTGTGTGAGTGTGTGTCGTGAGAGTGTGTGTGTGGTGTGGTGAGTGTGGTAGTGTGTGTGTCGTGTGAGTGTGAGTGTGTGTGAGTGTGTTGAGTTGTGTGGTGTGTGGTGTGGTGTGTGTGTTAGTGTGTGGTGTGTGTGTGAGTTGTGTGTGAGTGTGTGGGTGTGTGTGTGAGTGTGTGTGTGTGGTGTGTGAGTGGTGTTGAGTGTGTGTGGCGTGTGTGTGTGTGTGATGTTGTGTGTGTGTGAGTGTTGTGTGGTGTGAGTGTGTTGTGGGTGTGTGTGGTGTTGTGTGATGTGTGGGAGGTGTGAGTGGTGTGTGAGTTGTGGTGATTGTGAGTTGGTGTGGTGTGTGTGTGGTATGTTGTGTGGTGTGAGTGTGTGTGAGGTGTTGTCGTGAGTGTTGTGGAGTGTGTTGAGTGTGTTGTGAGTGTGTGGTGTGGGAGTGTGTGTGAGTGTGTTTTGTGTGTGGTGTGTGGTGATGGTGGTGGTGTGTGGTGTGTGTGTGGTGTGTGGAGTTGTGTGGATGTGTGTGAGTGGTGTGTCGAGTGTGTGGTGTGTGTGTGAGTGTGTTTGATGTGTTGTGAGTGTGTTGGAGTTTGTGTGTGTGGTGAGTGTGAGTGTGTGTGAGGTGTGGTGTTGAGTGTGGTGATGTGTGGTGTGTTTGGTGTGTGAGTGTGAGTGTTGGGAGTGTGTGGTGTGGTGTGTGTGAGTGTGAGAGTGTGTGAGTGTGTGTGTGAGTGTGTGGTGTGTGTGTGTGTGTGAGTGTGTGTGGTGTGTGGATGGGCAATGCCGGAGAGGATATGAAAGGTGACTCGAAAGGCAATGTGTTGAATATGAAAATGCTAGGAGAGCACCGGCATGCTTCCACCGTCTGGTAAAACTTTCCGTTTATGGAAAGTGCCCAGCTCTGTTAGAAGGTAAATTTTCTCCCTGCGAGCTCTTGAATAGAGATTTTATCACGCCTTGTATTTTTTCTTAATTTTCAAAGCTCTGGGTGGAGTCGTTATTAGTGCCATCTTCTCAAATTTCTGGACTGTTCGTGACGTTCTGGGGAAACTGGTGTGTGTGTTCTTTCTCCCCCTCACACTGAGGTGTTTGGCTTAAGAGCTGCTTACAAGGCTTCTTTCGCTCTGTTCTAATCTGGCCGACGCTGGGAACGGCGCCGTCAAATGTGCCACGGACACAAGAGGGCGATGTGTGCTCGGATGTCAGCCCGGGCGAGGAAAAAGGAACTCACTCCCTCTTCTCCAAGAATTTTTGGCTTAACTCCCAGACCTATTAACAAAGTGTGTTTTGGGGAGGGGCAAAATTCATCCCCAAACCTAATCAAAGAGGCAGAATTTGATGTCGAAGGGTGGAGACAGCCTGCCAGGAGCTTGGAGGAATTCTTATCGTTGGGCTCAGCGCTGTGCAGCATCTGGGCTAATGATCATCGTGCTCAGGACTCGTCTCTGTCTGGATATTCGGAAAGGACAGGCGTCAAGAGTCAAGACTGCAGAGAATCAATGGCCGTCTTGATCCCTGCTTACAAAACCTTTATTCTGAGAAAGCCCCTCATTCGCGGGAGGAGGGTGGCTGTGCACTTGTCACGTGCTAGGCTGTCTCTTCGGGGCTCTGAACACAGCCGGAGGAAGACAGCCCGGCCCCTGGGAGGGAGCGTGAGACACTTATTTCCATCTATTGGTTCCTTTTCTCTGGGAGCCAGTCTCCACTGGCAGTGTCTGCATCCTCTATTCTTATTCTGAGAGAGAATGCTAATCACACATTCAGCTCCTTTGGGTGGCTGTGGGCCACATTGTTTTTTTTTTTTTTTTAGAGATTCCATCTGGTTCTAGTTTATCCAACTGTTTCTCGGAGAGAGGTGATTCCAGCAATCTTCTACCACATGCAGGGGATGATGGAAGTGCTTAGTGTTTGCCATCGAGATGCTTCTGGCTCGGCCCGATCTCACTGCCCTGATTTTAGGGGTTCACTCAACAAAGTGAGCAATGCGTGGCCCCCCTCCCATGGGAACCTGTCCTACTCTCTTTAGCCAGAAGTGAATTCTGGCTCCTCTAAAGCCCTGCGCACTGTAGCACTTTTGCAGGTGACTGTCGCTATCTCAGATCTGCTGCCCGTAGCACTCTGTTTCATTTTGTCACCACATTTTTAGTATCCTAGAGCCTGCTTGGCCATTAGCTATTTTTAAAATCGGAACTCGAGGAAGGGAGGAACTGAAAGGCTGCATCTGTGTTAGCAAAGTATCCCCATCCCACACACAAACACACACACACACACACACACACACACACTAGATGGCAAGATGGCAATGCCCATGAAGTCTCAGCGTGGAAGTCCTTTATCTTGCTGCGAGTGAGATAATCTCAAACTCCACGGGGCCCTGCGACAGCCGGAATCTGGGTACCCCCCTTTTTGAGTCAGGGCAGCCTGTGAAAGTTTGGGGCGTATCATTGGCATCTTGTGGCTCACCTTCCAAAAGAGGGCAGAGGGCACAGCAAAAGTAGCTTTCGGGCTGTGACCTGTACCTAACCCTCGGCAGGCTTCTGCCAGTCAGGCGGAAGCAAGTCTCTCTCCTCCGCTGGCTGGCCGCTGTCGTCGGGTGACTGGGAGCCGCTCTGCTGCTAATCCTCCCCCGTAATTCCTGTCGCGTCACTCGGTCTTGCAGTTCTCTGGCCCAGCGGCGTTTACAGGAGGTCACTGCCGGGACACAGGGAACCAGTGTGCGGTAAAAAATGCAACCCGACAGCACCACGCTCCTTACCAGAAGTGGAGCTCTAGAATTTTCCGAGTCGACTCAGAGGAAGACCCCACAGTGAGTTGGGTGAGGATGGAAACTGGGTGCGATGACTAGAAAGTGCTTGGATTGGTTAAATAGACCGACAATAAGCAGGAAGATATCGTTCCCAATGCGCTTTGCATTTTGTCCTCTCTCGGTTTCAGTGAAACGGTCTAGATTCTGTCAGGCGTGCGTCTCTTCATCTGTCAGCACCGCGGCTCTTGCCAGGATTCTCCCTTCCACCCATCAGGCATAATTTTCAGACTTTGTCTTTCCTGTCAGGAAAAGTTTAATTCATCGTTTTCCTCAGGCTTTGGAAGAATTTCTTACTTTAGAGGAAAAGTGACAGGGAGATTTTATGACAAAAAAAAAGTATTCAGATTTTTCTTCATATGTGATCAAAAATTTACATTTTTTTTGTGGGAGTAATACCTACACATGGTAAAAAAGTCGACAGGTTCATACGACTATACGGTGGAAAACCTCCAGACTCCATCCCCTCCGTTTCCCAAGCACCTGATTCCTCTTGACAACTGCAGATATTACGTTTTTTCTAGAGATTATCTATAAATGAGTGGAGATATTCTTCACGTGTCTTTTACAAACGTCTTTTTCTAATGTCTAAATCCAGGTGAATTCTGAAAAGCAATATATTAAACATACATTAAAATGTACTAAATGTATAGAAATAGTTTATCCAGTTAAAGCCCCGGTTCTAGACTCCATAGCCTGTTTTTCGCCTGCTCACTCTAACAGAAATGTGACTGAACTTGTAATCCATCTGGAAGTGCCATGGGTACTCTGGAGCCTGCTGTGGCGTGTTTCTTGTCCTTTACCGCCTAGCTCATCTTGCCTGCATTATGGCCATTAGTCATTTCCCTCTGTAACGGAGAGAAGGGCCTCCAATCTATTGCAAATAGAGCAATAATAGGGAGGGGATCTTTTGTTATTAAGATCTAGGCACGAAGCTGGTTGGGGATCCAACTGGCCACACTCCAAGAAGGGAAACTCGGTCAGTCACTGGGGCGCAGTGAGTGGTCTGGAAATGGGAGGACACATCTTTTATGATCCCGAAGCTTAGAGGGGAATGCAACCACGTGGATGTTTATGTCTGATACTTCTAGGTGTCTGAGAGAAGAGTCTGCTTTCCTTGCTAGGGGTTTCCACTCAGGAGTAGATGGGCACCAGTGTTCCTCCTTGGCCCTCCTCGGCCCAGAGAGGGCCGTGATTCCTGTGCCTGCCCTCTGCCAGTGTTGGAGCCACTACTGTAAGAACTTGTGGCTTGGTGATCACTCAAGTGCTTCTAAAACCCCTGGGCTCCCTGAATCTGAATGTAGCAACACCCTTACTAATTTCTCAGCTGCCTTTCTCAGTTTAACCACTTCTGACTGAATGCTTTATTTATACCTTGACAATTCTTGGTACCCTCAGGCAGCCAAATGTGTCTGTCACCAAGATAGGGGCCCACCCACCCCCTCATGGCTGCAAGCTGCGCCTCTGGTAAGGGATTCTGGAGAAAGGAGGGGAGTCCTTTGTTTGGGTCTGTCGTGCTACAGAATGTATCTGGATTCTTCGAGGCAGACGCGACTCTTCCCTCCTCATTCCCTCCCGTTGACTATTCAGAAGAAAGCATATGAGGCCTACTGTGGAGGAAGTATTAAGTCCAGAGAGGTTAAGTCTTTTGAATTTTACTCAAGTCCAACCATTTAGGGCAGCAACTCAGGCTGGCCATCCCTGCTCTTTGGGGAGAAGACACACAGTGGGGGGAGACAGGCAGCTGTGTCTAGGGCAAGGCAAGTTAGCCATACTGTCTTCTTTGATCCCTGGGGCCTGAGCATTCCTTGGGGTTTTCTGGTGTGGTCTTCAGGTTCTAGTTATTCCATTCCGGCTGCCTTGTGATTCGTTTGGTTCTACGTCCACAGCCGAGCAGAGGTGAAACCAACCTGCGAGCTCCTATCTCAAGCCCACCAAGAGAGACGTGGGGGTTTCCTGGAGATTTATTTTTACCTGTTGCTCCCCAGGCAGAGGTTCCATTACACAGAGGCATTTCTCAGTGCATGATCTAGTTTACATATCAACTATTAAGGAATAAGAAAGCCGACAAGACCCTGACATTGAACCCTCAGCTGAGCAGGATGATATATGATATACGCCTGTGATGGCCGAAGGCCCCTGAGTCCCACCTCTTATTTCTGTCGGCGCTTCTCCCACCCAGACGGAAATGAGCTGGAGAGAGACATTCTCCCTGGTAACCACGTGGAGTAGAATTTCTTCCTGCAGGGGAGCAGAGGAGAGAGGAATGAAGGTTTGTAGATCCTACTTCTCTTCACCTCATGGGGAGGCTTCCCTGATCCCCACAGCTAAAATGTCACCACCTGTGCCCCTTCACCATCCATCTCTACACGCTCACCTGGCTTTATTTATCTTTGCTCTCTGTGTCTCCCCACCCTCCCTCCCCTACCGGAACATGAGCGCCCTGAGCACAGGCTATGTCTGATTCACGTACTGCTGTGTCCTCAGCGCCCGAAACGGCACTCATCCCATTTGTGGGTGCACAAAGAATATTTGTCACACAAATAGGGAACCTCTGCTGATGCCAGGCACTGTGTCGGACCCTGTCCAGACACTATACATTTAGCACAGGTAACATTTAACACAGGACCGGTACTGGTCTGTGGCCTGTTCTGAAATCGGGCCTCACAGCAGGAGGTGAGGTGTGAGGGAGCCGGTGAAGCTTCGTCTGCATTTACAGCCGCTCCGCACGGCTGGCATCACTGCATAAGCTCCGCCTCCGGTCGGATCAGCGGTGGCATTAGACTCTCACAGGAGTGCGAGCCCTACTGTATGCAAGCTGCACATGCGAGGGACCTAGGTTGCATACTCCTTCTGAGAATCTAATGCCCAGAGAGCTGAGGCAGTGATGCTAGCATGGAGAGCGGCTGCAAGTCCAGATTATCATTAGCAGGGAGGTTGCATTATGGGGAGTTGTATAATTATTTTATTATATGTTATAATGTAATAACAGTGGAAATAAAGTGCACAGCAAATGTAATGCGCTTGAATCATCCTGAAACCATTTCCCCCCACCCCCGCTCTGTCTGTGGAAGAATTGTCTCCCATGAAACCAGTCCCTGGTGCCACAGAGGTTGGGCACTGCTGGTTTAAGGCACCCAGTCTGTGATATTAATACCTTGCTATGGCATCTTTAGTAGTCTAATGGTTATTTTCATACTGCAGCAGTTGGGGAGTTGAGTCGTTGCAACAGAGGCTATGTGGTGAGCAAAGCAAAAAGAACTCACTAGCTGGCTCTTCACAGAAATTGTTCGCCAACTCTTAGTGTAGATGGTGGTTTCAAGGTCATATAGCTGGTCCATTCCTGAGTCAGCATTTGAACCCCAGTCAGCACCAGTGAATCCTGCGCCCTGCCCTTCCCTTGCGGGCATACGGCCCCTCCTCTGCCAGGAGAGCTGGGGCAAAAGGGTAAAGTCAGCGTGGCTCTTTTCTTCAGTTCCTGATCTGTCCTGTGGGCAGCTGTCATGGGGAAATGCTGAGTCATAAATAATCCTCACGTTAATGCCAAGGCAGCCGGAAGGGAAATGTCAGTAGGATATGTTATTTCAAATAAGTGCAAATTTCATAATTCAGCCAATTTTTGTAGACCATTTCTCTTACAGCAATCGCTGCTTCATTTGAGTCATGGTAAATTCTGATGATCACTTGTAAAGGTGGAAGAAACGTGTCTTCATTTGGACATGCGACTGGGATATGTACACGATACAGAACTGGCCAAGTGGACCAGGGCAGAGAGAGGAACGATTGATCTTATTTATAAAAACTGGCCGTTGTGTCTTTCAATCACCCAATACAATGACAGTATTGTGACGTTCTTTGCTTGAGCTAGTAATTGAGAGGCTCTAGGTAACTTCGATTTCCACTAAACGGAATGGCTCATTAGTGTGATTTTATCCTCTCGGAAACGTATCACAGAAGTCAGCTGTCGCAATCGGCTTCATTCCCACAAAGGCCCCTTCTGGGCAGTGCTCAGAGAAGCAGGGGTTGCCAGCACCAACGTCCACAGGGCCAGGCTGGTGGGTTAAAGAAGGAAGCCAGTCAGGTGGAGAAAGCAGCTGCCCTGCACCACCCACGCCACCCCTGCCACCCCCGTCCCCTCCAGCCCACTGTGGCCATGAGGAAACAGGCCAGCTGTTCCCAAATCTTCTGCTTTTTCGCAAGAAGCCGGAAATTCAGATTCGATCTGAAATTTCCCAATTTCTAAGTTTTGGCAACCAATTCAACATAAAGGGAAAAAAAACCCACCTGGGCCAGACAGGTTTTATCTGTGGGTTGGACCCTACAATGGGCTCCCAGTTGATGACTCTTGCTCTGGTCAGACTCTATGGCAAGGGTGAAGGTTGAAATCAGTCTGAACTCTTGTGTGCTCATCAGCACACACCTCAAAACCTCTCTTCAGTGTGTGGTCTTCCCACGTGTGTTTCTGTGCTTATATCTGACCCATCCAGTCTTGCACCCAAGTTCTCTTCCCTTTATTTCTGGATACTGAAATTCTTGGGGTTATCTAAGCCACTGCTGTTGGAAATGTCAGCATCTGAATCTCATGTTCCCAAGCAAGGAGCTGCTGGCTGAGTTCGGTCAGCAGGAAGGAAAGGACGAGATTTTTCTGTCACCCTGACAATGTTTTCTAAACCTGGAGTGAGGCTTCCTGACTCAATCTCTGGTGCTCTACACACAGGAGTTGCCAAGGAACAGAAGAAGGGATACTAAAAATACAAGCTTTGCCATCTCTCTGTTCTTTTTCCTTCAAATCTTTTCTCTGGAAACTGCCTCCACTCACTCTTGAATTTCCATTTGTTTTTCTCATTTCTACATTCATTCATTCCCTCAATAAACAGGATGGAAATAGGCAATAGATATAAATTGAAAGGCATACCATGGGGTTCCTTAGAAAAATTCATCATGGTGGGTGCCTTTAAACCAAGCAATAATTTATGCAAAGGCATCTCTAAAAGTTATTTATT